AAAATGTGATGTTGATTTTGGAAAAACATAAAAAACATGACCACAAATAGGAAACAGACACTACCAGTGATCTGGACTAATAGACTATCTCTAATAAGATATCACAGATTCACAGCTGTTTACGACCAGTGAACTGATCTTCAGGAATAAAATCTACAGCACACCTTGATCCAGAATTGGCCAAAATGGGTTTTAGTGTGTTGAGAGACTAAAGTTGTCCCTCTGCTTTACTCCAGACACCTACTTTGGGACCATGTACACGTCGGACGACCGTGGGATCTTGTTCTCCAAGTCACTGGAGCGCCACCTGTTTGACGGGCAGAGGAAGAGCGATTTCACCAACATTACCTCACTGAGAGGAGTATACCTCACTAACAAACTAGACGAGGGTAGGCCATCCATCTCTTTGTCCACTCTGGATGCACACACACACACACACACACACACACCTGCACACATCTGCACACATGCAAACCTTTTTTGGATGCCCTATATTTCTGCATTATTGGTGAAATCTTAAAGGATAATTCCGGTTTATTACAGCTTGAGTCTTATTTTTTGTAGCCTTGGCCATCATGTCTATCACTTATAATAACGTCCATTATAATTAATGGACTCATTAAAAGTTTAAGCCAGTGGTTCCCAACTTGTTTTTGCTCTCATACTCTAACTGTAATTAGCTGACTTCCACAATGCATTAGTTAATTAGCAGACATATTACTTAATCTAGGCTTTAATTACTTTGCTCAAATCGAACTGCTGATCCAGTCATTCACCTTTTCATTTGAATATTATGACTCATGACCTTAACACTGTGTTTTGTTGCAGACGGCCGTGTTAGATCTGTCATCTCCTTTAACAGAGGAGGGATGTGGCGACAGCTTAACAAACCTGAGAACGTGGACTGTAGAGAGCAAATTAAGAGTGTACGTTACATGAATCCCTGTTTGCATTTGTGTACATTACATTATTCGAATTAGTCATTGTCGACTAAAGTGCCTTTGTGTCTTTCATCAGTGCAACCTTCATATCCATGGAGAACACAGTCGCAACAACCGAATAGTTCCCATGGTGGCGCTCTCTGAGCCCACTGCGATCGGCCTGGTCATCGCCCATGGTAATTTAACTGCTCCAGCTTCTGTTACACAGACAAGTGAAGTCAGAGTCAAACACTCGGCCCCTTTTTTCAGCTTTGAATGAGTGAACGATCAGCTGGAAATCTAATGTGTGATGATTAAAAGACGTATTTGGGATCATCTCCTTCCTTCTTCAGGCACTGTGGGTGATTCTCTGTCATCGTCGCAGCACCCAGACGTGTTCGTTTCCTCAGACGGGGGCTATAACTGGAGGGGGACACTGAGGGGAACTCACCACTACAGCATACTGGACTCTGGGGGTCTCATTGTGGCTGTGGAGGCTCAGCGCGAAGGACAAGTCAAAACTATCAAGTACTGAAAAGGATATTTGTTTACCTCATGCGCAGTTGACAAGTTAACACAATAAGAGGCAGAGAGAGTTGGAGTTATATGAGGTTTCTCATCACCAGGTTCTCCACAGACGAGGGCCAGTGCTGGAAGTCGTATAACTTCACTGACCAGCCCTTCTTCTTCGCAGGCCTGGCATCTGAGCCAGGCACCAAAGCCATGAATGTCAGTGTGTGGGGCTTCCGGCCCGAGGAGGACGGCCAGCCCATGTGGGTGGCCGTCACCATCGATTTCCAGAGCCTCATTACCAGAGAGTGTGAGTCGAGTCGCTGTAACATCTGCTAACATATATAGCCTGCTCCTTCACAGCGCACGTTACCACCTGGTGGTAGGTGCGTGAAGCCTTACAGCAGTTACAGAAACTTAACAGTCCAGGGTCTGGGACTTTCCCAAACTTAAACCTCTGAGAAGTCATGAGATTTAGGCGCATTAGGTTCCTCTATTTTCATTTCTGTTGCATTTCACAAACCATCATGCTTTAAAAACAAGACACAAACAAGACTGAAAGGGCATCCAGTGTATCAAACCACTTCATTCGCTGTTTACCCTCCTGTTTTTGTGGTTTCTTTATCTCTCTGTAATCCTTTTTCATTTTTGTAACCACTTACTTTCTCAATCAGCTTCTTCCTGCATGAACACAGTTTTATGTCAGAGTTATACTAAATAATTAATACATGAATAGTTTAATACATGAATAGAATAGTTTATCTTGTTTTCCTGCTCAGTTTTGCTGTGTGGTGACAGCAATAATTGTTGCAGATTCAGAAGTAAAATGACAGTCGTTGTTTTACGCCTGTAGTAGTAATCTTCTGGGTGATGTGACGGCGTATCTGCTTGGCAAATTCAATCGACAGCACTGTGAGCGATGCCTGAAAGTAGATGGAAACAGAAACTGAATCTGGTGTTGTCTATTGAACAGGGAAATTAAGCACAAGAAACTTCTCCCCACATGACATGGAGAAGAATGGTTACACTCTGTGTTATGTTTTGGTGTGTTATATGTCCATGTAATGGAATATAAATATATATATATATATATATATGTTACATTTATTAACCAACCAGCCTTTTTAACTTTTTTTTTGTTTATTACTAACTGAAAGAATTGCCCTTGACAGTTGTGTCCTGATTGGTCGTCATGTGTTCTGTCAGGTAACGAGCAGGACTATGAGGAGTGGTTGGCTCATTCTACGGAGGGAGGAGACTCGGAGAGAAACGGCTGCGTCCTGGGTGTCAAGGAGACTTACAGGAGGCTGAAGAAACAATCTGTATGCAGAAATGGGAAAAGCTTTGTGGTGAGCAAGAAGCAAAGCCCCTGCTCGTGCACCAGAGAAGATTACTTATGGTGAGTCAGACAATTGTAGCTTGTTATTAGTGATTAGATGAAGAAATATACAGAATGTGCCGTCTTTCAGGTCCAGATTGAAGAACATAAGCTTGTATTGGGAAGTGTTTTGGTCCCAGCATGGAGAATACTCCTCAGTGAACACACTCTCTGTCCTTTACAGTGACTACGGTTACTATCGTCATGTGAACACTTCCGAGTGTGTGAGACAACCCAACGCCCCAAATAAAACTCTGGAGGTCTGTTTGAATGGAGAGGAGGACGAGCTACTGACAGCAGGGTAATAATGGTCACTGCTTTTTTAAAACAAAGAGACACACATCCTGCGCATACTCACACACTTTGACCATGTTTGTAGGTATCGTAAGGTCCCGAGTAATAAGTGTGAGGGTGGGTTCAATCTTCAGCTCGCAGTGCAGACAGTCATCAGGCCCTGTGGTGTTAAACCCAGCCCTGGCCAACCTGCCAGGTCATCGTCTCCAGACACACACTTTGACACACCGGTCAGTAGATTTGTTGGTCTAATCAGTCTGTGTACCTCCAGTTGCTCATGTTCAGTGTTTTCGGAGTGTAACAGCTGTTGTGTGTGTTTTCCAGCGAGAGAGGCTGGTGTTGATCCTGGTGTGTGCAGGAGCAGGACTCATCGTCCTGGTGGCTGTCGTTTCTGCTCTCCTTGCTGTCAGGAGAGTGGTTTATAGAAACAGGTGAGCTAGACACACACACACACACACACACACACACACAGCTGTGCTGCATGTTCATCTTTGAACACTCAGCAGGAGCTGAGCATTGCTGTTTCCTGTCGCCCTCTACAGGTCACCAGTGTACCGTTTCTCCAACCTGCAGATACAGGATGATGATAATGTTGAAAGCGCAACCAGCAGCAATGGCACCGTCTGCCAACAGGACTCAGATGATGTCAGACTTATTATCGCTTTTGTTTATTATTTTTTCTATAACACTTTGAGTTCAAAATCGCTTTCAGATTGTGAGATTTTGCCAACTATACTGATACTTTTGTGCTCTTATTTTGACAGGATCTTATTGAATGACACATGACACATTTTGATGGACATAATAGACATTATGGATTGAAACCAGCTGTGCTGAAAAAGAATACCAACTCCATTTTGATGGACTAATCCCTCATATTTGGATGGGAACAACCTTCGTGCCAAAGTCTATGGATTTGAATGACAAGCATGAAAATGTCTTAATTTATTGAGCTTACTTAATTTTGTTGCTTTACTTTACTTTTATTGCTCTTCCATTTGTACAGTATTTTTTTTTTTATTTCACTCTGTTTGCAGCACCTTTTTACTTCTGTAAAATGTGAAAACAAATTTGCATTTGTGAAAAATAAATTATTGCATATTCATCATTTTGAGTATGTTACATTTTAAAATATAACACGACTGGTTTTAATGCACAATACATTTTACTTCAAAACCCTCCATCAGATGGCACTGGTGCTGCCGGAAACTGTCCCATCTGGTTCAAAGTGAGCATAAAAGAAGAAAGAGCAGAAATCAAAGATAGTTTATTAACAGGATGTATCCCTCTGAACTAGCTGCCAATACTCTTCAGTGTGGAAGTAACGTAAAACTGCCAAGTTGTGACTTATAAATTAGTTGCTGATTAATGGGATTTACACAAAAAAGGATCATTGCAAGTAGATCTAAATATTTATCTTTTCTTATGCTTAACTGTAAAGAAAATGATATAGATTTCTGCTAGGAATTAATCAGACCCAGAGTGAGCATGGATTAAAATAACTGCTCTCTATATAGAAATGTGATATAGAAACATTTGAACACTGAACTCGTCAAGAAAGTTTAATGCATTTCATTTAAAATGATGCAGTATTTTGCAGGAATTATTGTTTCATGTATTGATGATGATGATATAATTTTATTGGTTAAATATTTCATGCACAGATGCAAATTTACTAAATTACAATAACAAATAAAAGCAACAAAACTAATCAAACAAAATAAGACTGAAGCTGAAATAACCCCTTGTATTATTTATTTATTTATTTATTGTTTTAATTGACTTGAATGTTAAGGAATGAGACGCTGTAAAAAGCCCAGTTTTTTGATTCACTTCGCTTTTGTCTGGTCTGCCGGCTCATTCGTCTTTCGTTTTTTCGACAGAGTGGGGCCTCTCGCCTTCCTTTCCTGCTATACAGCTAGCTTAATTGTCATTACACGATTCACTCATATCAGGTGATGACATTCTGAACCACTGTAGGACTTGTCGCTACCGTGGCTATTGAACAGGTAAGAAAGGTGTGAGCGTTCATCTGGAGGAGATATTTTAACGTTTTAGATTCAATTATTACTGCGACTGAACATCCACGGGAGCTACTTCGGTGTCAGTTAGCTAGCATAGACAGACCAGGAAGTTACACAGCAGACGATTAAACGTAGCTTTTGAAAATGTAGCTTGCAAGCTATGTACAGTAATTTCCAGTCCGTTAACTCTGGCCGTTAGCCGAGTGCACCATAACGACGTACTGCCTTGTAATAAACAGTTAAGTAAAGCTAAACTGACGTTAACTGTAAAACCCCAAACTAACTTTGTGTGTAAACCATTTCAGCTGTTAGCAACCCACGTCAGCTAAAGTTAGCGTCGCCCTGTAGTTGTTGTGGACCCCTGGCCACCCTGATAAGACACATGAATAAGTAAATCTGATGGTTTCATCTCTACAGGTTGTTAGCTGTGGAAACGGTGGCTGGAGGCTCGTTAAGATGGTCAGGGCTGGCGGTAAGTGCATCCTTTAAAAACTATACAATAGGATATAAGCCCATGGAAAATCTTTGTGTGTTGTTTAAAATCTCCCAAATTGTGTTGATTAACAGTTGACGGCTAATCACTGTATGTCTTTGCTCTTCCAGGTATTTTGAAGTTAGCAGCGCTCATCTTTGTGTTCCTCCTAGCTGTCTTTCTGGCTTTCCAACTGCTGGAGATCAACATGGATTTCAATCTGAGCAGCATGATGTGTGAGTCACCTTCCTTGCATTTCGAAACTCGTCGCAGATTAGGATAAGAGACAGTGGCAGGCGCTCGGTTGTAAAAGGAATATGACGCTTACTTAGAGGTGGTATTTTCGCTTTCCTTATTGTAGCCGGTTGTCTTTACATTACTGAAACTAGATATGGCATTTTTTATAACTGACCAGCTTTGATCATTGTTTGCTTTACCAGAACAGAAATATATGTTTTATTCAGAGGAGGGAGTTTTTCCTCAAAGCAGTTTAATTATTGACATTTAGGTGACCACTGAAAATCTCATTAAAGGTGTAATATTTGCTTTTCAGCAAGATCTGTGCCAGTGGATGAAGCCCGTAAGTATGCTCAACTTTTTTTTTTTGATTTGTTTTCTCAGTAACTGAACTAGCTCTAAAGATGTTACTTTATACCAGTCGAACCAGTCAACACATGAATGTTAATAATGAGCCTGGGTCACACCAAAATCACCACACAGTCTCAGGTGCGTGTTAAGCTCAGCACTCGGCATTTAGAGTGTAAATGATAGAGTTTAAGTGGTACCATTGCTCTCTGTTCTGTGTCTGCACTGTTTTGTAAATAGGCTCTTGTGACTGGGTTACCTGTTAACTGATACTGTGCTATTTAGTCAATGTGAAAATGGGGTTTTCTTTTCACAGCAACAAAGCCAGTCAGGTATAAGTGTGGCCTGTCCAAGTCATGTCCGGCTGGACACTTTGCCTTCAAAATGGCGAGTGGAGCGGCCAGTGTAGTGGGACCCAGAATCTGCCTAGAGGACAAATTGTAAGTCAAGTGATGTACCGTTTATGTACACTTTTTTCCTCAGAGCTTTATTTCATAGCTCGGCAGCAATCAGGTACCATTTTAAAGACATAATCCTGCAGCTGCTTTCTGTTTTAGAAATGTACCAACTGAAGTCTGCAATCCATCAGTCAGTTGACAGAAAATTAGTCAGCCGTCATTCATTTATCAAGCAAAAATGTCAAATATGCAATTTGAGGATTTCCTGTTTTTCTCTGCTTTAAACAATTATAAATTGAATATGTGGACTGTTGTTTAGACAAAACAAGATTGAAAAAAAAAAATGTTATACATTAAATTATGAATTGCTTAATAGCAAGTCAACCCAACCATAATAACCATAGTTGCAGTCAGAGCAGATCACTTGTGCTTTGTTCTAAAACAGTCAGCTCATCTGTTAAAAGTCCTGCCTGGTGTAATGTAAGATAAACGTGGAAAGATTATATGTGCATGCAAAAGTCCCAGAGCGTCTGTCTTATCAAACATATTTCCACTCTAACACTTTACTTTGAGTCCATCTGTTAGCATTTATAACACAATGATATAGTTTCACGCAGCTAGAAGTATATTTTAAAGCTTAAATTATTATATAATATTTACCAACAATTATAACTGAACTCATAACGGCTGCTATGAAGATGTATTTAATATTTCAACTGTGTTTTAACATGTTGTCACTTATTATCTGTTGAACTAGTTTTAGATGTTGACAAATACATTAAACGCAAATGTGTGTACAACTACATTCTAGTGTTTTATGAACTATGAAACAAATGAATTTATGGTGTCTATAAATAATGAATAGGGGGGCATACAGTAAAGTTTTGCCCTTCGTGGCTGTACAGGGAGTGTCGTTTCCTGACAAGTGAAAGTATCCCCATGGACTCTGCTCTCATCACCTACTTCTTGTTGTAGAATAATGAGCAGTGTGAAGAACAATGTGGGGAGAGGAATCAACATTGCCCTGGTCCACGGTAACGTTATCAGTTCCACACCTTGAAGTCAAATACCTTTTTTAATAAGTGAACAACTGTGGACGGTCATGTTATACTGCCACGTCACGCATCAAGTGCTACAGTGAATGGCACCATTTAACAAAAAGACGTCATGAGCCTGTCCACAGCAGAACATTATATAATATTATTGCCTGCTAATTAACAACAATTTACATCACAAAGATTGTTTCAAAACCATAATATATTGTGCCTAGAGGTGATAATATAGCACATGAGCAATGAGTCACTGCAGAGATTGTGTACTTAATGTAATAAAAGTTATATACGCTGTTGTTAATCAGTAGTGATTAAAACTATAAAACTCCTCTGTGTCGTGTCGTGAGCATGAGATTTAAAGTGGGATCTTTTTCCTCCACAGGCAGAACAGGGGACGTTATGAAGACAGACTTCTTTGACATGTGGGCAGGAGGTGAATACGTTTCACAACCTTTTTGTTTTGGACATTTGCAAACACACACACACACACACACACACACACACTGTAACGTTGTGTTAACCATGTGTAACCTTGTGCAGATGTGGCTCCTTTAATTAAATTCCTGAAGGAAATTGAAGAAGGGACAGTGGTGATGATGGCCTCATTTGATGATCCCTCAACAAAGTAAGGACTTTTCCCACAGTATCCCCTTGATTACTGTTACAATTTAGATTCACACGATTAATTTAAATTGCTTTAGTTATCTCTAATATTGATTGTGCCGCTGCTGGTGTGGCCGTGAAATAATTGTCTTCCTTCCTCTGTAGGCTCAACGATGAAGCCAGGAAGCTAATTGCTGATCTGGGCAGCTCAGTTATCACTAGTTTGGGCTTCCGGGATAACTGGATCTTTGTGGGAGGGAAAGGCATCAAAACCAAGAGTCCATTTGAGCAGGTAACACGACCCACAAAATCCTATTTTTACTTCAACTCTCTTTGACAAAGAGTTACACAATTTCAGCTGAATGATGGGAACAGTATCCTCGTCTTTCTCTACTCCCAGCAAATCCTCAGTGTTCAACACAACAACGCAAGTGTTTCCCCATCAGATGTACATCAAGAGTTTGCCAGGTTAAGGCTGGTGAGAATCCTGATAGCAGATAACAGATATTTGACACAGCAGATTTTCACTTTTCATCTGCGGATCATGCAGAGATCTCATACCTGCTGCAGGTAGATCTGCACTCTGCGTGGCATCAGCTCAGGGAGCGAAAGATGTAATGTAATTTGGTAATTCCTCAGTTAATGTGAGCACAACATTGTCGACACTTCATTCATCAAAGTGCAACAACAAGTGCAACCTTTTTGTTTCTTTTCTTTGAAAGTGTGAACACGTGTGGACCTTGTTCTTCCAGTTGTTAAAGTGAGAGGTGACATGAAGTGCAGTTTGAGCACTATTACTGTATATGAGCATACAGAGGTTTTGTATAACCTTATAATCTGTAATCTTTAAGTGACACTCCAACATTAAACAACCCGGTTCATATCAGCTGTTGGGCAGAACAGTGGATTCTTTATGTCATGGCCTTTCCGTCTGTTCACTTTACATGAATGTCACACTCGTGTGAACAGGATATAATATCCATCGGACTATCAAGACGAAGCTGGTTATCTGGTTTCATATTAAACACAATTTGTGAGAGTGTGTGTTGTGTTTCCCTCTCCAGCACATAAAGAACAGCGCAGACACCAACAAATTCGAGGGATGGCCTGAGGTGTTGGAGATGGAAGGCTGTGTGCCCCAGAGACAGGACTGACTCTTGCTGTAACCGTAAGCCACCAGTTTCTCGTCGCCTCTGTCCACCTCGTCCTCCAGACATTCCTGTCCGTGTGAGACTTTTTAGTGGTTACATTTCTTTGGGGCTGAGAGAGGTCGTTTTACACCTCTCACCCTGAAATCTTTTATTCAGATTTACCTAGAAGAACAACGTTTCTCCGGAAGATATTGGCAAGAAAGAGGAACGTCAGTGAGCCCTGAGCAGGACAGCGAAGCTCCGAACTTCCTGCACTTCTCCCTCCGCTTGGATACCATTACAGTTGCAGATGCTTATTGGGTCTTGTAATCGGAACTAGCAGGTTTAGTGCACTGATTAGAAGGGACTTTGATTATTGGCATACATTCAGACTATCTGTAAGGTCCACAGATGTAGCTTGAGAGTGTTGGATTATTGCATTTCTGTTGAAGGAAATGGATGTCAAAGCTGAGACTTTTTTTTTGGGAGGCCAAATTTCCGTTGCCTGTACCTTTGCCTTAATCTCATTGTCCTATTCACATTTTCTTTTGTTTTCATCATGTCATGATTATCTGATTCCTTGTGTCAGTGTTGTGTTTATTTTGAAAAGATTAATATTAACAGGGTTTGAAGACGTCTCTATTCATGATCTTATAACCAAATGCACCAAATTCACTGTGAAATTTGTAAATATTTGTTTAGAGGAGGACTCAGATTTGAGAGATCCTCATTTAACGAACCTTGTAATAATAATAATATAATTTCTTAAAATAAATGATATTGTTAGTAATATGTGTGCGTGTGGGTTAAAAGTGTTTTGTCTCATCTACAAGTGATATGTAGTTATTTCCTGTTTTAATTTTTTGTGTTCATATGCAGCAGACCTCATACTCGGAGCATGTAACGGCAATCGGTGTCACTTTACCTGTTAATATTTACCGCGTCTTGCCATTTTACAGCCACCTTCAAATATGCATGATGCTGTTGGCGTTCGGACTGATATACTGAAGTTCATGTGGTTAAAAGAAACCCACACACACACACTGTTCTGTTAACCACTTGTCAGGTTTTAGTATCGACTTTCTGTCTGATTTTTGGTTTCCAGTTTCTGCGGAAGGAATTTAAATGCAGCACCTGCTTTTAAAAGAACACCAGCTGTATTTTTAAGATCTTTTAAAGGCTGCTTGTACCAGGTTCTTCCAGCTGCTGCTAATTGACAATCAGCCTAATATGATACATCTGTGCAGCTGTGTTTGTAATGTGTGATTTCCTCACGTCTTTTCCTGTTACTTTGTCCATTACTCGTATGTCTACCGTCCCAGAACAGCTGCACTGGTGGTAGTATAGCTGGTTTTATTATAGTGTAGTGAATACACACAGTGTGTGAGCAAGATGTTATTTTGCCCACCTCTTCATTTACAGGTTGTGGACAAATTAACACAAATGAAATTAGAATTTAACCCAATACAACACTACAGAAAATGAACATGTAGAGTTTATTAAGTGCCTCTGTGACAGTCTCAACAAACTGAAAATGCAAAGCATAACAAAAGGTTGTATCATAGTGTGAGAGTGTATGCAGCCACTGTGTTTATCCCCTGTATTCTTACACTTTTTAAAAAACTTTTTAAAGATTTTTTTAAGTTGAATGTAACATCTGTTTACTGATTCCAGGTGAAAAATAGCCTCTTGGCTCACAGTCACAGCAGATTGTGACTCGTAAATAAACCAATGAATAAAAAAATAAAGTGTGAATGTTGAACATATTTCTTATTCCTTTCGTGAAAGACAAGACATCATTGTGAAAACACACTGCTTCCTCTCTCTCTCTCTCTCTCTCTCTCTCTCTCTCTCTCTCTCTCTCTCTCTCTCTCTCTCTCTCTCTCTCTCTCTCTCTCTCTCTCTCTCTCTCTCTCTCTCTCTCTCTCTCTCTCTCTCTCTCTCTCTCTCTCTCTCTCTCTCTCTCTCTCTCTCTCTCTCTCTCTCTCTCTCTCTCTCTCTCTCTCTCTCTCTCTCTCTCTCTCTCTGGTCCTTCAGGACATTTGAAAAGGTGTAGTGATACTGTTAAGAAACCAGCGGCCCCGGGTTCATCAACAGAAATGTAGAAAGTGCAGAATGTGCACATGTTGTGCGACTTCCCCTTTTATTATTCTAGAGAAGAGAGTGAATATAGCAGTTTGTTTCCTGTTTTTTCCAGCCGGCTGTAAAATGACCCTGAGACACAATCAAACAGTGAGCACCACCTCTATGGATCTCAACACTGTCATAGAACTGTATTGATTGTATATTTATTTTTGTTTTATATTTTGATATATTTGTTTTTATATTTTGATATAGTTTTATATCTTGATTTTGATTTGTTCATAATGAATAAAGCAGATATGGACTGAGGGTCCATAAAATTAAAAAGTTAAAATACTAAAGAAAATCTCAGTGGTGTGTGTGTCCTGATTTAAATGCACCACACTATGTTTTCATACTGTACAAGAGAATAACACTGAGGCAATACCTGCTGTTAAAGAACTCACGGGTTCAAAGTGACAGACAGGGGGCGGCATTGCCTCATATAATTCAGCCTGTGCTTCCTGTGCTTTGTAGCATCTACAGTACATGTGCTGTTTGTTGTTGTGCGTCAGTTATACAGCACATTAAATTTATGTCAGCCGCTCGCCTCCTTCTCATTTATATCCTTTAACGTAATCACCTGCTTGTTCTCTGTGGGCGACCTTATCCGCAGCATAAAAGGCATTCTCACGAATAAAAAAAAAAAAAATCAGGATGAGTGAGGCCTATTCTGAAGAAGTGTAAATTTACACCAGATTTCTACCTATTGCATAATTCAGACATGAGAACAAATGTCAAGAGTTTCTATGTGCGCTTTGATTGTGTGTGTGTACAGGTTTTTATATGTGGCTGTTTTTGTAATGGTGTTGTAATGGCTACTGTAACATAATGTAACAGCATGGACTCGACCTGCACGACAACCCTCGCACAGGATTATGGGAATTTCTTCCATCCTCCTTCTCAAAATATATTGACATTGTGTTACCTCAGTCTCAGACACAGTACAGTAATCCAACGAGTCTAACGTACTCTCACTGTCATTTGTGTGTGTCTAGTCACTTCTAAACACACACACAGGATTGTATGTTGCACATGATTCCTCTCAGGGTTTGTCCCTCTGCCAGTGAAGTGGCCTTCAGAGTTCCCCTCCACACAGAGCTCTTCCTTATTCCCAGTGAATGAAAAAACGCTGCGGTGCTCTCCCTCTGATCTCATCTGAGCTCCACACACACACACACACAAATACACACACATATGCATAGATACACACACCACATCCCTCTGACACTGAATATCCCCATGTGTGTTTATACAAGGGAGAGCATTTGTTTAGCAGCTGTTTCGGTGCCTATAGTATCTGTTATGTCGGCCTTGCATATCAATACGTTATTGTTTGACTGTGTGCAGTTACAGATGTATGCCGTTACGCTGGTCGGCGTTCGTGTAGGCTGAACCTCCTCTGAGCTCCCGTGTCTCTGTGCTAAAAGATGAGCTGTAGGAGTGAAGCCTCTCCAACTCGTCTTATATAAGACATGCTATACGATGCATTATGTATGAACATAGAACATTTCATCACAGAAAAAACCTCTAATGATGAGACATCTCATGGGAGCCTGAGGGCAAAGCTGCATAAACACAGGAGGATAACAGAAAAGGTGGCTCATTTTTTTGTGTAGAACAAGACAAGTTATTTTCTTTCTCTCACTCTGCATGCTTCCCAGAATAAATCTGTCTGCTACACAAAGGTGCTCACCTCTCAAAGAAACTCTGAAGAGCTCAACTCAACATTCCCAGTTGCTGCGGTGTGACCTTTGAACTCTGCCCTTTCACCCCCCCCCCCCCCCCCCCGATCAACTGACTCTCATGCTTCAAAACAAATTTCAAAACTATTCCTCTACTCACCGGGAACCTTGTGATGAAAACGCATTTCCTCTCAACTTTGTCGCTGAACTTCTGTGACATAAACACGTTCTTGACCTTAATTGCACTGCACAGATAACTATAGTTCTCACCGTGACCGCACTGAAGTGCACACCATTACCCTACACTGCTGACATGTCTTTCCACAGACCAACATACACACACTCCCATGCACCACATTTATACTCAACACCTGCCCTCAAACCCTTCCTGCTGAACCTTCATCCCACCACTGCCCTGTGAGTCAGCTGAGCAGAAATCCCTCTGCGACCTCTGAGACATTTGAACTCTGAACTTTTCAGAACACAAATATTGGCCTAAAGCAAAAAACAGGCTTTTCTGTTTTTGCACCCAGAATAACTTACAGGACGCAAACACTCAAGAATGACCACTGGTGGCCAGAATCAATATTACAATGGTCTATACTCAATTATCATGTGGGGTCACTTCTTAGCGTGTGCAAACTGCTGTATAATGTCCTATTGTCCTCTTTTTTTTCAAGTCTGAGTCAATAACATTTTATGCTACGTTCATTTGGTAAAAACTTACATACACACACCAGGAAAGATTTGGGGCTCAGTGTCTTGCTCAAGAGCATTTTGACTTGCGGGCAGGAGGAGCTGTGATTAAACCACGAGCAAGAGTAAGAGACTAACCCTAACCCCACAACACAAAGCATGTATCCGCTACAAACTGCTGATGGGGAGTTTGAAAGGTAGGGCCTAACAAAAGACACTGTTATCATAGGAACTGGAGAATTCAGGACCCACACTACAGGGACTGAAAGTCAAAATATCTCGGCCCCCTCTTTTTTTAAGTGTTTCATTTGATTCCCCTGTCGTTACTGAAATACTAAGTCACTTCAGAACTTTAATGGAAATCATTTCCTCTCTATTAGAGTTTCTTGTGTCTCTACATCTGCCTGACATTGACGTTTTGATTCTGGTAATGGGCCCTCACACTGCAATTTCTGGGCTGTCACACACACAACAACAACACCGTCAAACACTGTAAAAATCTTTTGTTATCATTCCTTTAAGGGCCCAAAAACTGTGTCTTAAAACGAGCTGTCAGGATTACTGTAACTTTTTGATGTCACAACAAAAGTCATCACCCACAGCTATGCCCCCAGTACGGTCTACCTGGACCCTGCATCCAGCCTTGCAGGATTTCATTTCTAAAAGTATTTACCTGAAATCTGCTATATTTTCATTTGATCACTCAGAAAACAGTCAGCCAATCAGAGGAGAGGCTCTGAGACTCTCTTCTGATTTGCTGACTGACCTGTTGTTGCTAGGGCTCCAGGGAGATCCCTGAGTGATCAGATGTAAAACGACACTGAGATGGTTTTTGGTACTAAAAACAAATATGTCTTAAAATAAAACACAGGAAAAGTGTAAAATATGGGACCTTTAATATCCACTACGACATAGAAATTTCACCGTGGCTAAAGTTTGTTTATTGTTTTGTTACATTTTCAAAACATGAGTTGATGACAAGTATCTTCTTGAATCTTTTCTTTATGTACATCATAACACTCCCGACCCCAGGCTTTCATCACACGTTCTGACATGCCTGAAAACTGACTTTATAAGACTTTACTGGACCCAACTTGCACAGTTGATACAATGAAACTGTAAAATTGTTATCGCACAGTCCGAATGGCACCTTAAGATGAATGCTTTGTGTTTTCAACATTTTTCCTTTAAAGGAAATCTTCACTCTGACTTCCACCCAGGCCATAATGTGTGGTATGAAGGTCCTGCCGCTGTTATCTATATGTTGCTGTATTGTCTGTAGTCTGAAACCCCTCCCTCAATCTGCCTCTTATCTGATACTGGACACCAAGCAGGGCCCGGCCCTCTTGTTTACTTCCAGCTCTGCACATTAACCCTTAAACTTTTTCCACAACTGTTTCTTTCAGTCCCCCCCCACTCGAGCCCCTTCCCCCTCAATATAAGCAGTGACCTCACTGCCCTTGCTCTCTGCCCCACCTCCAATCTTATAATGCTACACACACACACACACACACACACACACACTGATCCAGACAGCTGTGTTTACACTCTGTGGGTCTGTGGGAACTTCCTGCTGACCTCAGCACAGACACACAAACACCGTAGACACTCAACCGGATCGATTGCTGATCATATGGATCTTTTCACACAATCTGTATATTCCCAATTGGACAACAATCAGACAGACTGGACTTGACAGAACGAATCAGACTAAAAACTATTTTACATGGCTGAATATTCCTAGCGAATTCCATACAGTCTTTTTTTGTTGTTGTCATGACAGTGGATGTGATATTTTTACGCTCCCATCAAGACTTTTTCCTGTAAACTTGAAAACTCAATCAAATTTTTATACCAATAACGCGCACTAACCTTTTCACCCTCACTAATGGCAAACATTGCTCAAACACAATTACACACATGCTCCCTCTGGTTTTGTCTGTAAAACAAAGGTCTCATTCATCGCTGTCATTCTGACTTTTTCTTACTTCTAGCTCAGGGTCAGACAGTTTCACCGCTGGTGAAAAATAGACACACATCTGTTTTTTTTACTCACTGGCAGCCAGAGCAGTGCAAACCAGTGAGTCGATGACTTCCCCACTGTATAATAAGACCTAACCATGCTGGTCTTGTTTGTAGTTGAGTATTACTTCCTCAAACTAGTGTTTTTTGTTTGTTTTTTGGTGGGCACTTGTTTTGTTGTACTTGTTCACAGCATCATTTGTAGAATTGGAACTACAGTCGCTTTTCAGT